ATGATGCTGCTTGGCCTGCTGTATTCATCCAGCTCTACACCTTGTTATCTCAGATTTTCCAGCATCTGCAATTCCTACCTACTCTCTCTCACCAATTATTCTGTTTTCTTTCTGTTCCCTTCTTCTTTACTCAAACTGCTTTCAGTTTAACCTTTGCCAACACAAAAATAGAAACTGCTGGAGAAACTCAGCAGGTCTGGCAGCATCTGTAAGTAGGGAGCAGAGTTAACATTTCAGGTCCAGTGTCCCTTCTTCAGAACTGGAGTCAGGGTCACTGGACATAAAAATAACTCTGCTTTCTCCCTATAGATGCTGACAGATCTATTGAGTTTCTCCAGCAATTTTTGTTTTTATTTCAGATTTCAAATATCCGCAGTTCTTTATTTTAACCTTTTCCAATACTTCACATCTTTAATATTAAAATTCAAACAATCTCATTTGCTTTCTTTTTTGCCTATCCTTTCAGGAAAGCTGGTGGCAAAAATTATCATTTGAATAGTTAATGATGGCTTCAAATTCAGCCAGTAAAATAAATAACTGAAGTTCAACGTGATTTTGATGTGGTTGTGATATGTCACTTTGAAGCATTTACTCCACACAAAAAGTAAATTCATGCTGACCTCTAGACCCACCCCAAAATTAGACAAAAAAAAATTGCCTTCATTCTGCTGGTGCTAAAGCTGCACTTATAACTCTCCCTTCCCCAAATAAATGCAAAGAATTCCTCAACTAAGCTTCTGTTGGCAGGAAATGCAGGAATTTGGAAAAATTACGATGTTCTTCTTCTTTCACTTCCTTATGATAAAATGTATGTAACAAAAACAATTCCAACAGATTTATGCCAATGCAATCAATCACAATCCTTGACCAAATCCAGACAAGCACAAAATTAAAATGTTAAAGGGCATGTCCGTTCACAGGATGAGGGTGTTGCTGGCTAGGCCAGCATTTATTGCCCATCCCTATTTGTCCAGAGGGCAAGTCAGAGTCAACCGCATTGCTTGGGTCTGGAGTTACATGTAGGCCAAACCAGGTAAGGATGGCAGTTTCATTCCCTAAAGAGCATTGGTGAACCAGATGGGTTTTTCCCCGACAATTGACAATGGTTTCATGGTCATCAGTAGATTCTTAATTCCAGATATTTATTGAATTGCCATGGTGGGATTTGAACCCAGATCCCCAGAACATTATCTGGGTCTCTGCAGTCCAGCAACAATACCACTAGGCCATCGACTCCCCTCAAGATGATTCAATTAAAAAGACAGAAATGAGATTAGTTCAAATTTTCTACTAGAACAGGGATAATCAACCAAATAGAACAATTCTTGAGTGGAAATTTCTACTTTTAATAAATCTAAATCTGGACACTCTTTTCTTCTCCTTTTTATCCACACTTTGAGTGTGCTGGAGCTGGTGACAGAACTCATATGACCCCAAGAGCCCACAGCAACTTCAAAACATCCTTGAAAACTGGGAACAGCAAATGAATGTGAAATAAAGCTCCATTTACTTTGCATCAACTCTGTCAATCTCACTCCAATCCACCCACACCAATAACTTGCAACCTTTAAGATAGTAAAACATTTCAAGGTGCTTTATTGCAGGATTAAAGGAAATTTGGGATTCTATGATTCTACAGCTAACTGTTCATGAATTTACAGTTTCGTTAAGATGTTTTGCTGGAATCACTATGTATCATTCACTGAACAGAATAAAATGAAAACTAGTAAATACAGATTCTGCAAAAATGTCAGTTACATGCCACATTTTTATCCTTTACCAGAAAGTGGAGACAGACTACTACCATATTCAAAATACCCACATGGTGGACACTTCCGTGCCACACGTAAGGTTTGAGTGGCACAAGTGGAAAGGTTACTGAAGCACAATTTTTGCTTCAGGTATTTCATCCTTACCAGAAACAGACAAGAATACTGCCTCATCCAGCCTTTCCCAGAAACAGATAAGAACACTGCCCAATCCAGGATCACAGTATTTTACTGAAGGTGTATTAGTTGTAAGACAAATACCATGGCTTTTCTTGGCAGGCTATTAATTTAAAAACAATTTTAAAAAGCACCACAAACAAAAAAGCTGAGCAATATAGACCTCAATATAAAAGATAACTTCTAGCCAGACAGGCTACATAACACAGACTATGTCAAGTTCAAGTGGAGAAAACAGCGAGCATAACCCACATTAACATGTTAATAGCACACAGCACCGACTGGAACAAAGCATTTCTCCTGCAAAACGGCCATCTCTCACATT